TCCTGCTTAATCATTTCTGCTCTCCTGATGCAACAGTTTCATAAAGGAACTTTTTCTCCCCTCATTTATGATGCACTAAATATTGAATCTACACCAAAGTTCTGTGATCAGCACAGGAAATGGGATTGTAATCTTGCAGATACCTGTTTTTAGATGCAGATGTCTTTTTTTTAAGAGGAAGGCACCAGACTGTCTATTTTGAATTCCCAACTCTGCCAGAATCTTGTGTAAATCATTTAAACTCTATATTTAGTTCCCATTTGTAAAATGGGGGTAGTATGTCCTGTCTTTCATACTTTGGCCATCCAGGACAACTCTCCCAGGTTTGTTTTCCTGAGAGAAAAACTGACTTGTACAGATGTTCAAATAGAGAAGCAAAGAGCCTGCAGTATGGATGCTGGGCTGCCAGGGGTCTCTAGATCATGCAGCCCAGAGAGCTTTGCAGAGGTTTTTTTGTTTGTTTGTTTGTTTGTTTGGGGTTTTTTTTAAGTGAATGCAGGTAGGGATTGTGCAGGGGTAGGGTCTGTGCTGTGCACAGAGTCCTTCAGCCTTCTCCTCCCCTTGCTGTGTTCCAGCCTTGGCACCCAAGTGCTGCAGTGTGATTCAGGCAGGGAACAAGCCAGAAGTGCTGGGCTTCTCCAGCTTGAATGGTGTATTCTGCTCCTGCTTTGCTGTGGCTGACACACACTCTCCCTTCTATGGAAAGGGGAGGGGGAGGGAGAAGCAGCAAAGCACAGTGTCCACTTATACAGAAGTTCTGTCTCCTGAGAGAGATTCTCTGGGGATCCACTTCACTTGGGTTGTTCCCAAATTATGTCTCTCCCCAAGTGGTTGCTTTTACTATAGGAGAAAAATTACAAACTTCTGTATATTCATGGTTTTTCCTGAGAGCACAGAACTCTCCCTGGTTAAACTGAACATCTGCCTAAGCCCATTGTTTAATGTGACTGTTTGGATCTAACTGGACTATGGGGCCACATCCAGACAAGCATGGATGTCTGTGGCACCACACATACAGGTGTTTCCCGTGCTGCTACCTTGCAGCATGCAGGGTATTTTTTGACCCCGGGATCTCAAAAAAAAAAAAAAAAAAAAAAAAAAAAAAAAAAAAAAAAAAAAGAGGGAGCAGGGTGGCACACACAGCAGCAGCACATGCCATCCAAAACTGGAGCCTGGCTCGCTGGCTGGAGCCACACTGGCTGCCAGCCAGGCTC